AGAAGGCAGTGGGGTTCGGTCGTGGGCTCGGGATAGAGCACGATCGGCTACAGGGAGGTGTTCTCTCCTTCTCTCTTTCTCTCTCTCTCTCTCTGTCTCTCTCTCTCTCTCTACCGACGGGAGTTCGGCACAGGCAGAGGTGGTCGGGAGTTGGTCGGAGCAGTGAGGGAGGAAGAGTCGTGTGGGTAGCGAACGGGAGAGGAGAGTCGTGGAAGGAAGTCGCGTGAAAGAGTCGAGCAGCCCCTCGCTATTTAACGACGATTTGGGCGCTCGATCGAGGCGAGCTCGCGGCTTTTGAGCAGGATTTCACGGGACAGAGACTGAACGGCGCCGAACAGTGGGATTTCGGCAGGTTTCGTGGATCCGAAAGGTAAGATTTTGATTTTTTTTTTGTTCCTTTGGGTATATCTGTTGAGGTCAACATCTTGTGTTTTATCTTTGGCCGTTATTTTTAGATGTGGATGCTGGGTGGTGGATTTTATGTTGGTCATTATTTTCTATTTTGCCACCTACTTTTTTTTATTATGTCATGAATCTCATCTCTATCTCTTCTTTTTCTCTTCATGTTGATCATGTGGAGTTGGTTGGTATTGGCTATACTTGTAACTGTCTCTAAAAACTTGAATGGCTGCTAGCAACCGACCTCTAAAAGGGTTATTTCTTATAAATCTTTTAAATGGAAAAGTTATCATTTGTTTCACCATTTTTTGCTCTGAGCTCCTGGACAGAGGTGTTGCTTCTTGGTGTTTTGGATTTATTGATTTCTCTTGTTGCCATGAGCTCAGTTTGATCATTTTTAGTCTCGTTTCCTGGCCTTATGGATAGGTTTTTTGGCAACCAGAGGTCTTGAGGAGTTTTGAAGGATGATGATGATTGATGGGCTCTCTCAGCTCCCCTTGGACGGTCATCTTAGAAACCAGGGGTCTTTTTCATTATTTTTGATGTAGAGGACGTTCTTGATATTGCTAAACATCATGAGTCCTTTTTTTTTGATAATTTTTTGAGCATTTTGAGGTTTTAGGTTTCTTCTTTTACAACCTTTATTGTGTTATTGGCTTAATTTGTTTTATAGCTTTATTTTGTTGTGTTCAGCTTCTGAGAATTTATTTTTATGCTCCTATAATTTTTTTTCTTTACAACCCCAAAAAAAAAAAAGAAATACTGTTTTTTGAAAACAAAAGAAAAAAATCACAATATGTGTTTTGCAGCATATTTGCATGAAATATGTATAAATAACTCGGCCCATTCAACTTCTCTAGCTAGTTGCTTAACAAAATAGCTTAAGAGCCACCGAGCATCTTTCGAGAATGTCAACCTCACATACCTTCTTCCAATACATTATTTCACACCTCCTCATAGTCTTTAATGCACCTCCAGCAACATCAACAACCTAGTCCACTCCAACCCCAACAAAAACACTTCTCTCCCTTCCCCACCCAACAATCTCTACTCACCAACCTAATCCAATCTTGAATAAGGCAACCAACCATCCCCAATCCCCATACCAAATAATATGGATGGTGAGTTGCCATAATGGAAAAGAATAGCTAAATTTGTGCAAACAGTGAGTTTCGGTGGCTTTAATAGTCTTTTGGTGAAAAATCCTACCTCAGCCACCACCCATCCTGCTCTCTGTATAGCGTATTTCATGTTTGTATGTCTTGGATTGACTTCCAGCATTTGCTTGTTAGCCTTTTAAATTATTAAGAAGGGGAGTCCAACTGTGTGGTTGGTGCAAAAAAAATTAATGTATTTTAATTTTTTTTTGCTATTGACATGCTGTTTTCGACTCCAAATTGCACTGCCGCTCATCGTGGCAGACTTAGTGACGATGCTCGTGTTGATTAGCTTGCTGGTCATATTGCTTTACCTGCTATTGAGCAGCAGGTGCCAGCTCCAGTCGCCTGACTAACGAGACAGGTATCTAATTTTTACTTTATTTTTTGTTCTCTCTCTCTTTCTCAATAATCTTTTTTTGAAGATTTATGAAGAAATTAAATAGAAGATCATAACAGGAAGCTTAATTATATTATTTAATTTGAAGTTCCTTTGACAAAAAATATAAAACAAAGCACTGAAATGCAACTATTCTCTTTTTCCTTTAAAATATATTAAAAACTAAGTTATTGTCTTCTAAAACTTGTTTGAGGATGATAAATAAGTTACTTCGACTATCATGTTGTTATGGCGTTTCGTTCTTTGTTTTTATTATTAGTGATATAAAAAAATAAAGATCGAGTTTGATTGCCCATTGCTGATTAAAAGCCCGTTTTATCTGTGATAAAAAAACAAAGACCGAAATACCTGGAGAACATGATAGTAGAAATAACTCATCATCCACATATAAGCATAAAGATACATAAAAGACCAATCAAGATAATTTTTTGATGATACACTAATAATAAAAACAAAGACCAAAATGCCAGAACAACATGACATTCGAAGTAACTCATTCATCATCCTCAAACAAGTTTTAGAAGATGATAACTTAGTTTTTAAATATATTTTACAGGAAAAAGAGAATAATTGCATTTCAGTGCTTTGTTTTATATTTTTTGTTGAAGGCACTTCAAATTAAATAATAAGCTTCATGTTATGATCTTCTATTTAATTTCTTCATCTGTCTTCAAAAAAAGGTTATTCAGGAGAGATGAGAGAGAGAGAGAGAGAGTATAAAAAATAAGTAAAAAACTAGATACCTGTCTCGTTAGTCAGGCGACTCGAGCTGGCATCTGCTGCTCAGTAGCAGGTAAAGAAATATGACTAGCAAGCCAATTAACACGAGCACCGTCACTAAGCATGCGGCGACGAGTTGCAGTGTAATTTGGAGGCGAAACAACATATCAATAGCGCAAAAAAGAAATTAAAAGAAATTAATTTCTTTTGCACCATGCACACGGTTGGACTCCCCTTCTTAATAATCGAAAAGATTGATAAGAAAATACTAGTGCTCAAGACAAGACATACAAAGGTAAAATATGCTATGCAGAGGGCAGGATGGGTTGTGGCTGAGATAGGATTATTCATCAACAGACTAATAAAGCCACCGAAGCCATCGAAACTCAATCTTTGCACAAGCTTTCCAATCCTTTTCCATTATGGCAACTCAACATCCATATTATTTGGGATAGGGATTGGGGATAGTTGGTTGCCTGATTCAAGATCGGATTGGGTTGGTGAAAAGAGATTGTTGGCTGGGGAAGGGAGAGAAGTGGTGGTGGTGCTGTTGGGGTTGGAGATGGGCTGGGTTCCTGCTTCTGCTGGTGGGGTGGATTGAAGCTCATGATGAGGAGGCGGGAAATGATGTAGTGGAATAAGGTGCATAAGAATGGAGGCATTATGGAGAGAAGGTCGATGGCTCTTTTTTCGTTAAGCAGCTTGCTAGAGTTGAATGTGTCGGGGTATCTATACAGATTTCTACAATTATGCTGACAACTTGATAAGTACGAATCGTTTTTTCTTTTTTTTTATTATTTAAAAAAGAAGAGCAGTTCTGCCGTGACTGTAACCACTTCCCTTGGATTCTCCCAGATATTTCATTTTGCACACAATTCCTTGGCTAAAATTTTGTTTCCTCTTTTGACAATTGTAATTTTATTTTTCTCCATGACTTATGGGATTCTTTTGATGCTTCCTAGTTTTTTGGAAGTACAATAATTTTTATTTTATTATGTAATTTTTTTAAATTCTTCATTTTCATAAATGAATGGGCTTTGCCCCTAGTTTTCTAAAAAAAAAAAAGTGATGTTGGAGTCTTATGTTGATACTGCCTAAATGCTATATCGCTGGATTTGAAGCTTATTAACATTGGATCTGATGCGAGACAGGATGGGAGAAATGGTGATGAAAAGGAAACACGATCTACAGGAACTGGTGGTCCGCACATAACCCAAGAACTCCTATCTCCTGAAATATGCCCATTACAAGCATTATCTACATGTATTTATAGACCAACGTTGTAACATAATAGGCTACACTCAATTGAAGAAAGCGCTACTCCTATATAGCCATATAAGTTACTATACAAAATTATTCTAGACTGAAGTTAATAGAATTAACCAGCTCAGCTCCGATGTCATTCTACCTGGGTAGGAGGAAGTTCAGGCTCGTAGTGAGATGATAAATTAGCAACAAGAAGGAGAATAGCAACTAGTTTAGTTGGCTAAATTGGTCTGGATAGGTCCACCCGGTGTCAATTTGCTACCAATCCTCAATCTCTCAAGAGTAGCTTAAGCAGATGGAATACTTGTGATTGTGAAAGCAGTTTGGGACATTTGTGTTTCTTTTAATAATCTAGAGAATAAAATAAGAGAATAATGATCCAATCCATTAAGTAGATATTTACTTGCAATTTTTTTTAACAATGATGGTGAGCATAATAGTTTTCTTGTTTGAAACATTATGAGTGAATAGATTCGGTTGGACATTTGGTTTGCTCTTATCATCATTATTCACAGGCTTATCAACACCAAGCACTTCGCTGATCATGTCATCCTCATACACGTCATACACGGGCTCACCATAGATAGGCAGAGACAATGATTTCGGCAATGAATCTTTAACCCCGTGGAAGATTGATTTGATCAGGGCTATGGAGGAAGGCTTACGGTGTGACCCTTCAAATACTTCTTTATAGGAAGAAGGAAGCTGATCAAAATTATGTAGACCAATATTGATTTCTCCATTCTCTAAGAAACTTTGTTGAAGGAAGTTGATCGAAATTATGTAGACCAATATTGATTTTTCCATCCTCTTAGAAACTTTGTTTGACTTGATTAGAAACTCATCATTTTAAAAATCTAGGTAAAATAGATTAACATTTTCTTCTTGAAGACCCGCTACCTCTTGTTGTTCAACTCCGGTTCGTTCTTTAGGTAGCTATTTAAATAATTTCTTGTTATTGACTTCCCAGAACAATGATTGCTACTATTTTTGGTGGTTCAAATTGCGTGGACAATAATAAGAAACAGTTGAGTTGCTGTGGGGAAGACTCTTGCTTGGGGAAATCATTTGGAGCGATGTGGATGGGCCGATTCAATCATTCAGGGGAAATGTTCCCAATGCATGTGCTGGAACTGATGCGAGCCACAGGGTCGCACGCGAAGCCAAAGCAGGCTGAAGACAGGGTGTGTGGGAGACAGTCCCTGGCCGATAACATGTGTATGCAGACTGATTCGAGGCACCGCACATGCAAGACATGTGGGATTTATGGGGCACACTGGAGGCGCAGAACTCGTAGAAAGCAGGTTTGGGGCATCAGAATCACAGAGCTGGGTAGTTCGACTTGAAAAATTGGGATGCCGAATACGTGTGGGGTTGAGGTTTCTTGAATTACCGTTTCCCATGGCTTTTCTTTGCTTGAATCTTGTATGACATTTTTGTAGTAGCGTGATCTCTCGCTACATATCTTCAAGCGATTATTGAATTGGTTGTTGCAGTCTTTGTCGAGGCGACATCTTGTTGGTTTTGATACCAAATAATATCGGTCAAGATGGGAGAAATGAGCATGAAAAGGAAATACGAGATGTAGGAACTGGCGGTCAGCGGCACTATGACTATCAGAAATTACCGGTTGTTTAGGTCGCCGGAAAGCCGCCGGTAAGTTTAACCGCCGGAAATGGACCACCAAAAATTGTTTCCTGCACAATTTATTCCAGCAGTTTACTAACCGCTAGAAAAAAGCCAGTATTTTTTAAACTGCCGAAAATCTAACAGGAACCATGGAAAAAAAAACCGCCGGTAATGCTTGAATTTCCTGTAGTACGGGTTAGTTTCTAGGTGAAAATCTCGTATAGTAGTTCATGGATTTAAAGAGGAACATGACTTTAATTATAATGAAACCATTAGTCTAGTGGCCAAAATGCCCATAATCCAAGTCTTTATTATCATAGCATTGCATCAATAATGGCCAACCATACAACTTTATGTCTCTAATGCATTCATTCATGGCCATTTGATTGAAACTTTGTATAGGCTGCAACCTCAAGGGTTTCAAAACTTATTCAATCCCAACCATTTCTGTCGGTTAAATAAAGCCATCTATGGGCTAAAATAATCTCCACATCAATGGTATGTCCCTCTCTTGGGTCATTTACAAGCATTTGGCTTTAAATTTTGTGTTGTTGATCAATCATTACTGGAATATAATTTTGGTTCAATTTTCATGTATATTTTCATTTATGTGGATGACATCTTGCTCCCCAGCAATAACCAAAATACATTGAATAGTCTACTTAACAACTTTCAAGCCCAGTTCTTCATGCACAGTCTTGGATCCTTATCACATTTCTTAATCATACATGTCACATCCACTTCTAATGGTTTACATGTAATCCAATCTCAGTATACTCAAATTATCCCTACCCGAGCAATAATGCAAAATGCTAAAGTAGTTTCGACGCCAAGCACCAACAAGCGAACAACTGTAACACAATCCATTAAAGAATTCTCCAATCCTAAACTATACAGGCAATTAGTGTGACCCTTGCAGTACCTGGCTTTCACATGCCTGGACATTACGTTTGTTATTCAACAAGTGTGTCAACACATGCATAAACCACACGTGTCACTTTGATTCCCTAAAAATTCTACTACAAGAGGTTCAAGGTACTAGCTCTTAAGGGTTGTCGTTATACAAGGATTCCCTAATGTTACATAGATGTGGAGATTCTGACTGAGCTGGAGACTTTCACAATCACAAATCCACCTCTAGATATTGTAATTTTTTTAGTAGATTGTTGATTTCATGGCAGGTTAAAAAGTAGCCTACAATGGCAAGCTTAACCACCAAAGCCGAATTTTGAGTATTGGTTACAATTGCCTCAGAAATCATTTAGTTAAGACGTCTCCTCACTGCTTTCAATGTAGCATTAATCGCTTCTATGTCTCTATATTGTGATAACACTTCTTAATTGCTCTAGCCAAAATCCGATCTTTCTTGCTCATACAAAACACATTGAGGTAGACTGTCATTTCATCAGAGACTGCATTCAAACTAAACAAATCATTGTACATCATATAACAACCCAGGATCAGATAACTAATATATTTGCTAAATCCTTATCTTCTATTCAGCTTAAGACGTTATCTAGCAAACTGATTATGGCTACAACATCATCAGTTAAAATGGGCCAACATACAAGAGTACATAGTGGAATTCATAAATATATATATATATATGCAATAATCTATAACAGATAACAGGAAATAAGTGTCTAACTATTACAAGTTTAAAGTTAGGAGAGCTACTCTATTTTAAATCTTTCTTCTAGTAGAAAATTCTTCAAAGTCATAAGTTCCTCTCGTCATTTCCTTCTATATTCTAAAAAGAGCTTCTTTAGTAAGGAACTATTTTTACAGGATTTCATTTTGTCAAAAGCTGGAAGCACACTTTTAAACTTTACTTTCTCATAGTATCATTATATTTGAAGCTTAGAACATAGGTCATGTTTATTTTGTTTTTTGACCTAATAAGTAATGTTTGGATATGATAAATGTATGTTTTTTTGGAATTTCATCTCTTTATTTTTGAAATTTCTAGTTCAGCCCTTGTTTCCAAAAAAAAAACATGCATTTACCATATCCAAACATTACTTGTTAGTTCAAAGAACAAAATAAACATGACATATGTTCTAGGCTTCAAATATAATGATACTATGAGAAAGTAAAATTTTAGAAGTGTGCTTCCAGCTTTTGACAAAATGAAATCCTCTAAAAATAGTTCCTTACTAAACAAGCTCTTTTTAGAATATAGAAGGAAATGCCGAGAGGTTATGACCTTGAAGAATTTTCTACTAGAAGAAAGATTTAAAATAGCGTAGCTCTCCTAACTTTAAACTTGTAATAGTTAGACAATTATTTCCTGTTATCTGTTATAGACTATTGCATATATATATATATATATATTCAAAAGGAGAATATGGGTCATCCTGATCTTTTCTATATTATTCGAAAAATTAAATTGCTGCTTGCTGACCTCAATTATACTATGACCCATATTTTTCGTGAGGGAAATGCCTGTGCGGATTGTATGACCAAGTTGGGCTGCCAGTGTTTTTCAGTTAAGGAATTTGAAGCCTCAAATATGCCAGCTATGTTAAGAGGTTTAGTCAAACTTGATAAATTGGGTTTACCTTATATTAGAACTGGATAATTTTGCTTTATTTTTGTCTCTTTTTTTGGTTTCATTCCTACTGTCCATTATTTTAATTGCTGGTTGGGTTATTTGGCTCTGTTCTGCTTGGAGGTTGATTTTTTTTTTCCGGCCATCAGAATTATGTATTGGTTCTAGTATGGCTGGTGTTGAGTCTAATGAATAGGTTGTTAGACCTAAGTTAATGTCCCAAGGTTACCAAGAGGGGGGTGAATTGGTCAAGAATCTTGGGGGTCCCTTTCCCAGGAGATTTTTCTCTCGCATCATTTTTGGTATCAGAGCAAGTTAGGAAGTCCTAGGTTTTAAGTTGGTTTGTCAAGTCAAGTCTTGTTGTGTGAGTCTTATGAGTCTTGTTAGTCTTGTGAGTCCTGTGAGTCTTGTTGAGTCTTTTTTTAAATAAATGGAAAAAGACAAAAAGATAGATTCATTCATGGATGAAAACAAACCAGACAATCCTGAAGTCCCTCTTCCGATGCACAGATGGATTCCAACTGAAGGTGATTCAACCGATCCGCTTCAAGACAGATTATACAAACTTCAATATCATATGTTCTTATGTGATCAGAAATTCGAGAAATGGAAGACATATCTACAAAGACAGTTCGAGAAAGAGCAAGAAGAAATTTTGAAGAAATATGAAAAAAAGATTAAAGAATTGGATGCTCCGTCTTCACCTCCTCAGAAGAAAACAAAAGCTGACTCATCGGGAGATGAGTCCTCAAGAAGGGGAGTCTGATGTAGGCAAAGGGGGGGTCAAATCAAATCCAAAAAAATTTGGTTTTGACTTCTCTTGAGCTTGCTAGCTCAATAAATTTTGAGCTAAAATTTAGCTCATTATGAGCCGGTTTGCCCATTATTAGCTAGGTTTTAGTTCATTTATTTTCTTATTTATGTAACTCTTTGTTTATAGTTTTGTCTCTTAAAATTCTGAGTTTTGTCCCTTGGGTTTCTAAGAATGGCTTTTGGTTTTCCTGTGCCTTGGCTCCTTGGTTTCCCCGGTTGGCTGCTGGTTTTTCGTGCTGGGTGGCCTTTCCCGTGCCTTGGTGCTTCGGTTCCGTGCGGGTTTCCTTGGCTTTTGCGGCTGCCTCTTCGGGTTTCACCTGGGCTGTTTTCCCGTGGCTGATGGGGGGCTTTTCCGTGGCTTTGGTGCTTTGTTTCCTGGAATGACTGTTGGCTTTTCATATTCCCTATTTAAATAAGCTTTTAAATTAATGAGGGGATGTTTGTATTCCCCTCTCATGCCTATATATAGAGTTGTTTTGGAATGTTTTAAATAAGTTTATGATGTGATTTTTGGAAGCTAAACCTGCGGGTTTCTTCGTGGAAAAGCTTGCGAGCTTGTTCCAGTCTCCTTCTCCTCTAGGAAAGCTTGTGAGCTTCTCCTCCTCCTTCATCTTGGCTTCTAACCTCTTTCGTCTCTCCACAAGTATCCACTCCATTATATCCTTCTTCTCTTGGAAAGCAAGTTTAGGTGTTTTTGTTTGTGTCGTTTGTAAGTGTCTTTTATATTATATAAGTTTGTCAAAGTTTGTAAGTCATCTTTTAATATTAAAAAGTGTCTTTTTGGGTATTTTGTGTATTTCTTTTATTTAGTAAGTCTTTTTATTTTGTGATAAAAAATTTGGGGCCCTCTCCCAAAATTTTTATTGCATTAATTTAGTATCAGAGCAGGTTATGAAGTCCTAGGTTTATAAATTGGTTTGTCAAGTCAAGTCTTATTGTGTGAGTCTTAAGAGTGTTGTGAGTCTTGAGAGTCTTGTGAGTCTTGAGAATCTTATGAGTCCGTTTAGTAAGGTTTATGTGTCTTGGTGAGGCATAGTAGTTGTTGTATGAGTAGTTATCATATAAGTTTTGTTTTGAGTCATGTTGTCATTTGAGTCTTGATGTCAAGTGAGCAATCTCAAGCCTTGGTGTCTCTTGATGCAACGCCTTCAGAACAAAGATAACTCATCGAGAAATGAGTCTTCAAGAAGGGGAGTCTGATGTAGGCAAAGGGGGTGTCAAATCAAACCCAAAAAAATTTTGGTTTTGACTTCCCTTGAGCTTGCTAGCTCATTAAATTTTGAGCTAAAATTTTGTTCATTTATGAGCCGGTTTTTAGTTCATTTATTGAACTAAGAGTTAGCTAATTATGAGCTATGTTTTTAGATCATTTATTAATTTATTAGTAGCTCATTAATTTTGCCTCTTCTCCTCCCCTTTTCTTCTTTAAAATCTGTCCTTGTCCCATGGGATTTCGTGGCTATTTTTTGGGCTTCCCTGTGCTTGTTGTTTTCGTGTCTTGGCTCCTTGGTTTCCACGGTTGGCTGCTGGTTTTCCTGCTGGGTGGCCTTTCCCATGCTTTGGTGCCTCGGTTCCGTGCGGGACTCTTGGGTTTCCGCGTCTGCCTCTTCGGGTCCCTGGCTGAGCTGTTTCCCGTGGCTGATGGGGGGCTTTTCCGTGGTTTGTGATGTTTGGGGTTCCTGTGGGAAATCAATGAAGTGGCTGTTTAGTTTCCCCTCTCTTGTCTATAAATAGTATATGTTTTGGGATGTTTTAAGTAAGTTATGTGATTGATTTTTGGAAGCCAAAACCTACGGGTTTCTTCGTGGAAAAGCTTGCGAGCTTGTTCCATTCTCCTTCTCCTCTAGGAAAGCTTGCGAGCTTCTCCTCTTTCTTCTCGGCTTATAACCTCTTTCGTCTCTCCGCAAGTATCCACTCCATTGTATCCTTCTTCTCTTGGAAAGCAAGTTTAGGGTGTCTTGTTTGAGTCAAGTTTGTAAGAGCCTTTGTTTGTAAGTCATTTAATTTTAAGAGTTGTAAGTCTTTCATTTTATATAAGCAAAGTTTGTTTTTTGTTTAAGTTGTCTTCTTTTTAGTCCTTTATGCTTTTTAGTTTAACTAGAGGGTTTGTTTTTGTGATCAAAAATTTGGGTCCCCCTCCCCCAAATTTTTTATTGCATTAAGTAACATCAACATTTTATCCTTCACATATAGTGTTATGCTCCCTCTCAACCAATAACATGGACAACGTGGTATATTATCTTTATTATATGAAGTACAATATCTCTCTATGTATCCCTTTTAAAACTCAGTCAAATATTTAATCTTTATTCGGTCATGGACATACATGAATATCACCGTACTACGAAAACTTGTTTCTTGTGTTTGATATAGTTGATGCATTTGTTCTCTCGTCTTTATTTGATTTTGCTCAAAATTTTATCATGATCTTAACACCATGCTCACAATGTGAACCCACGACCTCCAAGTCCCAACGGAAATAACTTAAACATTGTTTCTAGTGACTTAACACACGACCTCCTTGCAATTTAACCTTCAAAAATTTGCAGTGCTTACATAAAGAAAGCTTCAGTAAAAAAGAAAAAGAAGCCATGCGATGCAAATCATAATGAGCAACAGTGTTAAACTAATATAAAGAAAGAAATGTTATAAATTTTCTTACAGATGGTGTGAAGCCCTCAAATGGATTTTTTCCTGTTTTTGAATCTGCTAAAAGTTGCCTTGCCTTTTGAATATATGCTGATAGACCTCCAGGATAATTTGCATTCAGCCGTGACACCTATAGAAGCACGCATTCTTCAACAACAAAAGCATGGAAAATATAAATTTATCGAAATAAATATAATAGTGTGCAGAAAAACTGCCAGCAACAAGCTAGCACAGATAATAACAATCACAATACAGTGAAGGCATCTGCATGCAAGCAAATGCACAAGCATCCATCACACTGCTTTGTGGTTTTCCATCAGCATAAAGCTCTAGAGACAGAATGTGAACATCACTATACTCGGGTTCTGAACCAATAAATAGATCGCAATAATAAAAATGAAAAAAAAAAAAAACATCCTCCCTAGTATTTCAAAGAATAATTAGAATCAAGTAGAATCTTTTTAGGTTATACATGTTTAAGTTTATGAAATATTAGAAATCCCTCAAGAGAATATAACTTTCTTCAAGCTTCATATGAAATATACAGTAAATGGAAACCAATAATGCTAAGTGTCAAGATGATCCAATGCGGAGGTAAATCAACAATAAGGAGCAAAGTTCCCCCCATTCAACCATCATAAAACCATGTGCAAAGTTATAACTTTTTTTTAGAACATGAGCCACATTCCCTTTCATAAGTCTATGGTTTAAGCACAAAAGTCGTGTATTCAAAAAACTTCACAGCTAATTAGACAACAACCAATGCAAATGCGTACAAAATAAAAATGATAATAAACAATATCATTATTAATGAGAAGCAGCATTCTAGTAAAAATAAAATTATCACTCTGTATTAGTGTATTATTAAGCATTAGTTCTCAATAGCATCTAGTTCATTAAATGATCTGAAAAAATTTAACCTGGTTGAAGAAGCACGTTTTCTTCTCATCGTCAACGCCTTGCTCAGCCCAATTGGCAAAGAGATGACTTTGTCCCTCATGCAACAGCATCTTTGCAAGGTCAATCTAGTCAAAAATGAGAAAATTAGTAATCAACACATATTATTGAGTAGGATGGAATATGAGAAGGATGTCTAAACAATGGAGTTTGTTAATACTTAAGACTAAAAGAGAAGAACATTGCTTTGCCATGATCATCACAGAAATGAGAAATAATATTTTGGTGACACACTGAGAGACTTCATGCAGTCCACAAACAGAAATATATACATGCAATTAAAATAAATACAAAAAAAAATAGAGTACTGGAAAAAAAGCACATCCCTTCCCTTGTTAAAGCACATTAGTCAAAAGTACATAACAAAGTTTGATTTGGCATACATAATGTTACACAATACGTAAATCTTTCAGTAAATCTAGATTATGATATATAAAATAGCAATATAACATGCCTGTTTCACTACATCAATTAATGGTAAATCAAGTACAATATTAGAACATGAATCTCGTAATCACATCAAGCTAAATTTCCTGCGCATGAATATGCTAAAAGAGGTGATCTTACCAATTACCATGAAAGAATCAGACAAAATAACTGCTAAACAAGATTTCAATAAATGAAAATGCTTAAAGAGGTCATTGCAAATGAATTGTATTGAAGATTTCAACATAAGAAAATAAAAAATTTCACTTACTCAATGAGAATGACGAAAGAGGTCATTTTAAAATTTGGACTCTTGAATCATACAATCGATCAAGAAGCGTATTCACTTCTGAGGAGGCACTGTATGTGCTATATATGTTTTGATATGCTGTAAGTAGATACAATTTTATTTTATTTATTTTTTAAAGTTAGATACTCAAATCTCATATGCATATCCTTTCTAAAGATATTTTAAAAAATATTGGAGCCCGTAATAAATAGATGAGACATCATAGTTAATGGAATATTAGTCAATCTTATAGGAATTCCCATTCATCATTTACTTTTTATTCTAGAAATTTTTTATCAACATTTCTGGGGTCTATATGAGAGAGAACTAATGTTTTTGTTTGCATCAACATTTCTTAACAAGAATAACTAGGTTGTTAAATTTATCATTGCATGAATATATCTGAGTGTATGCATAATTATAAACATGCATATTAATATCTACTATTCACACACTAATAATTTTTCCCTCCCTCCCTATCAATCATTATTCATCAGTAAAATACTAAGAATTATCGTTTTTATGCATATATATAATTTCATTTTCTTCCACAACACAGCTTGCACACACATGCACCCACACATATACACATATGCATGCAACACACAAAACACACCCACAATGACACATCACACTGCACCCATACATTCATCAGCTCGCCTACAAACAAGTTGATTCATGTGCCAAAATAGCACACCTGCCATGCTCACCCACACAAATACATGCCTACGGGCACAAAAGAATGAATAAATACACACTTTGTCCCTCACCATCCATCATAATAGATGAGTAAGGAATAATGTATCTATTCATGTTAGCACACATCAACAAGCATGGATAGTTTATTGCATTTTTTATTACATGAATATAGATAGATAGGTTGTATTACTCATTAGATAAATATACTTGTCTATATGTGGAATTATAAGTATGCATATTCATATTCTTGTTTCCACATGCATCGTATCTATATTAGTGTACATGATCCTCAAATGACGCAAAGGAAACCCTGAAATTTCTCAACCAAGTGTCTTCAAAAGCTAATTCTATTTTTAGTACCTCCATACGACCAAAAGACCCATCCCCAAACCAATTAGGATAACAAATGACAAAATGCAAATAGTATCAATAGTGAATTTTGCTTTTTTTTCCCTAATTAAAAAAGCTAAGTATGAACTTAATGAGTTATTGTTACAAACCAAATTTAAAAAAAAAAATGCATAAGTGTTATTATGTTATTTGGATGTAGCATCAGCCACAGCTTATCCTTAATTAGATAATAAGCATTTCTATACTGAATTAACTACCCTGTTAACCCTTTTCACTATGAATGCCAACATGCATTGGATGTCAAAATGCCTATGTTAATTAGAATAGAGAACAATCCATTGGGTTCATTGGCTTTGATGTTTCAAAATTTTTAGGTTCCCCCCATTAGCACAGCTTCAAGCATTTCAAATATCTTCCAGCACATAAATAATAAGGAAAAGTCTATACTTTGCATTGATATGATGTCAAATCTAAACATTTCCGAGCAAATCCACCAAATTCATTATTTCATTATTCATCTCCATTTTGCATGAATCATGTGTTGTGATGTTTCAAAATTTTAGGTTCCCCCCATCAGCATAACTTCAAGCATTTCAAATATCTTTCAACACTTAAATAATAAGGAAAATTCTATACTTTGCATTGATCCGATGTCAAATCTAAACATTTCCAGTCCAATCCACCAAATCCATTATTTCATTAATCATCTCCATTTTGTATAAATCATGTGTTGTGAAAGAGAGTGCCTCAACTCAAGTGTAAGAACAGTGAACCACAAAGTAACTAGAAAATAGATCAATAATCATAAAAAAGCACCCAAATTTATGTGGTTTGATTTGGGTTAATTAGAATAGAGAACAATGCACTAGTTACATTGACTTCAATGTTTCAAAATTTTTAGGTTCCCCACATCAGCACCACTTCAAGCATTTCAAATATCTTTCGGCACTTAAATAATAAAAAAGATATCAAATATAATAAATTCCGAACAAATCCATTATTTCATTAATCATGAAAGAGAGTGCCTCAACCCAAGTATAAGCACGATGAACCAAAAGTAACTAGAAAATAGTCATAAAAAAGAATACCAAATTTTATGTCGTTCAATTTGGGTAAACCTACATTCACGATCGCACAAAGATTGAATAATCTATCAAGTGTCAAGAAAGTACATAAAGGGTTGCAATTCCCACAAAGTTCCAAATAGGAAAAAATACCACATTGTTTAGCTTAGAGAAAATGTGGTCACCTACTTTAAAGATGATGGCTAAACTTGGAGAAAAAGATGATATTGTAGCTCCAATTACTCTCTTCTCCTCTTTATTACAGGAGTCCAAATGAGAACTATTCCTTACCATAATCAAGAGTTTCCTCTCTTGCTAGAATCAAAAATAGCAAAAATTCTCGAAGAATTCCCCTTACAATAACACAAGAGAATTGTCTTCCTTCCTTTATCAGAAGGCACCTCCTGTCCTCTATCTTCCTCTACCTCTCCTATTTTGATTACTTCTTATTGTAGGGTCCATCAATGTACTAATTTCTTATATTTTCATAGTTGTATCATGAGGTGATAGGTGTGAATGATTAAATTTAAATGGAGCTTAACTTAGTTAGCCACCATTTTGGAAAATTAAGTGCAGATAGATATTGAGTTGGTAAATATCAATCTTGAAAAATATGAATAGATATCGAGCGTTGAAGCCACTAATCATGAAAATTAAAACCATAATTTATCCATAATAATTCATGGAATCTAGACTCATGAATCTTTATGAAAAAGGGAGAGCTTCTAAAGGAATCTGATAACAGTTTGCAAACCTACAAATTTTTGCTTTTTTCAGAGGTTTTACAAACTACCGGACCCCATGTTCTTGCAGAATTTAACTATTTTGAGTGTTGCGAGAAACAATAACTATAAATATGTTGCCTTACGAAAAAATTAAATATCCCTCTCACAAGATAAAAGCATGTAGGCGTATAATCCCTCAAAAAATATACTAAACCCAACTTTGTTCCATCTTTGCCATACTGATCAGATACTATTATACAGTGAAAAGGACCATGCAGGTATATGGACCACAATGTAAACAGAGAATAAATCCCCCTTACTTCCTTTGCTAATAAAATTTAATGAATTCAGACTCACAAAAACAAAATGTGCTGACTTATGCAAGCATTCAGCACAAAACTTTTATTCTTCATTTAACGATAGCGTCCGTCGCTGCTCTAGTTTCATTATTGAAAAAAATTAAATGCTTGTTATGCAGGTATCCTTCCACACGCATCTCCTTTATCTAAAGCATCTCAATGAAACTTAACCAGAGGCAATGAACGTGCTTAGCTTCGAGCAAATTAATCCGATGGAACACAGCCCATCCAATCTTTGGACATTTTGAAACATCACTCTCATTTTTTTCTGATACAAATCTACCGCATCCTATTCCAGATTCCACCAATTGTTATTTTATTGAAAGAAAATTATACTATACAAAAAAAAAAATTCAAGAGCGACAATCAAGATGAGACCTGATCCTGGTTAAGAATTCTGAGATTTTTTTGAAGGTTTGGGACGTCCGAGGCCCAATTGTCGCCTCCCATGCTCAGCTCCGACAATTTTTCCACCATGTAAGACATCTTCCGCCGACCAAAACCGTCGCCGTTGGAGTGACGTAAATCTCACAGCGGAATAAATCCTCCGTTTCCCTCTTTTTTCCGTAAATCCCGGATTTACTAAATCCTGCAGTTTGGCGGATTTACGGGATTTGGCCGAAGAAAGCGTGCGAATGGGAGAAAGTTACCTTCACAGCGAGCGAGCTCCCGTCTTTCTTCCGATCAAAATGTCGTTACTTCCGATCCGACAGGAAGGGAACGTCGTCAAAGGAGCGAAGTCGAACGACAATGAAGAAGCCGAAGAAGCGACTCGTGCAATCTTACATGCGAACCAAGGAAGCCGAACAGCAAGGACGAAAAAGAGAAGATGAAAAGCACCCGCTAGATGTCTCTGAACTAATATTGGCTAAATTAATTAATATAATTTAAAATATTAATAATTAAATAATTATTATTATTATTATTGCATAAATTAATTATCTAATTTAACTTATTTATATAGTTAGCAATATAATGAGTAATTAAAAATTAATATAAATTAAAATATAAACTATTAAATATATAATTAATAGTGTAAATAATAATTAAATAATTACATTGTTCTTGTTGATTTTGTATGTTGATTTCTAAATTTCTCACAACATCATTTTTTCTATAACTTGTCATACATGAGTAGTTAATGATTAGGTAACTAATGAGATAATTAAAAGTACATTTAATCATTTCAAAAATTAAATAACAAGTAAATAATTAATGAAATATTTAACTTGGTGTATTGATTAAATAATTAGTCATTTTCAAAAATTATTAACTAATTCATTATATATTGACTACTTAATCGATTAACAACTAAGTACTTTGATAATTAGCACTATACTCAATAATTAAAATTTTAATTATGTTAATTGATACTTTAGCAAGATTCTAATGATATTACTCATCATTACAATTTATTGATGTTAATCAAGATAGAAATTAGGGGGTTTTTACATGTATAACACTTAAAACTGCTATATTTACCTATTAAACACCTAAAGTTACATATTTACTAATATATCACCTCAAACTCTCATTCTAAATCTTTTATAGCACTTCTGTGACGTTCGTTCGCCTCTCTCGTTCACCACTCCGCCCTTATTCGCACATCCGCTCTCTCGGCACTCGTTCGCCTCTTCACCGTTGGAACTCACCGCTAGGCTCTTCTTAAATGTTCGCCACTCACCGCTAGGTTCTTCTTAAACGTTCGCCCTTTCGCACGGTAGGTTCTTCCTTCCATTTTTTTTTCAGGTTTATATTGGACTGGTTAATATGAAATTTTTGTTGTTATTTAGTCCATTTGGCACCATGTAACAAATCTTCTGCATTAGTTGTTTAGGGTGAACTTCTCAAGTTTTCATTAACTATGTTGTGTTTGTAATTTTAGAAATGCACAATAGGTGTTTGATGAAATATCAAGGTGTATTTTTGGAATGAATTGAATGCCAATAAATTGTTTACTTATACATGTCTTCATTTTCTTTAATTTTTTTAAAGGTGTATTTTGTGAAGGCAATCTACAAGGCAATCTACAATGAGTTCGAGTTCCTCGCCTATGTCAATCAGAAATTTAAGTAATCAAGTATATGGTCATTGTAACTTACAATGTACGATATTTACATCTTACAAATCTCGTAGTAGAGGAAGAAAATTCTACAGATGCTCCCGGAAAAGATCAGAAGACGATTTCCATTATTTTCGTTGGTGTGATGAAGTTAATGAATTGTAATATGATAGCAATTCCCGCAGTTCAAATGTTGCTGAAAGTGGTACAACACATGTACTTTCAGTTAGAGCCGAGCTGTTACAATTAAAAATCTTGTTGGTCATAGTGATTTTTGTTAATCTTATTATGCGTTCATAGTAATTAAATGTAGTTGTGCATGATTGTCACTTTGCTTCACTGTAACTTTTATTCAATCAATGCAAACTTGTACTGCTTCTGACAAACTATAAAATATGTTGTGATCGTTCACATCTACTATTGCTACTATTGGAGCATTTGTATCTTCTGCTTATTTGGCATCATGCTAATACAAGGATGATTTCTAACAAATAAAAAGCATGCTTATTCGGAGCAGCAAATTGCTTCAGCCAGATGACTTCGAATGAATGACCATTTGAACATAATGAAGCACGAACTCTCCATGGACATCCACGATATGTGCATGTAGCTATCACTCTTGATTTGTCACTAGCTTTAATCTTTATTGCAAAGTTTTTTAAAATTGCTTTGGAATGAATAGCTTGTTTAAAACTTAATGAATCCTCATATCGCGAACCAACACTTACAATATGTAATTCTTCAACCTGGGCTGCTAAGGAACCATAACACAAATCATCTACAATTATGTCATTGTTCAAACCAGTGTTTACAGTTACATCTTCCATATTCCCACATTGACCCATATCTTCTTCAACTTCTTTCACTGCAACCACCACCTCCATTCTATTGACATTATAACTTCCTGTTAGCATGTCCATAACATCCGCATCACTCCTAATTGGCAAATAAATTTTAGGCAATGTGCCATTATAATGATATTGTAAATCATATGCATGACCCCTAATCCATGGACAGAGTGCTTCGATTTGTTCTTTCAATAATAACAAATTAATTTGGCCTCTCTCAAAATTTAATGTTTTATGACTTCCTCCAACATATTTCATCCTGGATTGCCCCTTCACCCCAGTCCAATATCCTCCATATTTGAATATAATAGAACACAAACTGTTGCAGTCCATATATGCATTTACGTTAGAGGTTCTAAAAATTAAAATTAAAATAAACATAAAACAGAACTTAGAAAACATACCATTATATACAATAAGTTGATTCCAGGCCAAGAGGTGTAAAAAAAATCAATAAAACTGCTGTAAAAACAAAAACCGAAACTAGTGTTGATGAAAATATATCAAGCTATTGGATTCATAGAAAAAATCCATAACATTGTTGTTCTAAAAAAAATCAATAACACTGTTGTTCTACAAAAAAATTAATAACACTACTGTGGATTCATAGAAAATATATGTTGTAGAATATTTAGCTATCTTCGGTGTTCATGAGTTCCCCGGTGGAAACCGATACTGATACATCAAGTGTTCTTTGTAAATGATATCAATTCACTCCGTTTGAATATTTGCGGTGCTCGATTTTGATTCCTAGTATTTTCTTACCTTGGCAATGTTGCGAAAGGGAGAAAAATGGCAGCGTAGGATTCGCGAAACATATAAGAGTCCCGAGATATTTCTCCAACCTAGGAAGACGAATGTGAGAGAGATGGTTCAGTGCCAGTATCAACGAAGAAAAGAGGAGATTCTCGCACTATTTCGGCTTTGCTTTGACAGGAGGGAACGGAGTGTGGCTTAAGGTGGTATATTAGTAAATAGGTAAGTTTAGGTGTTTAATAGGTAAGTATGATAGTTTTAAGTGTTATACATGTAAAAACCCCTAGAAATTAATAATTTAATCTTATTTAAAAGTTAATTAAAATTCAAAATATAATATACTTATAAGATTGTATTTAATTATTTCTTTTTTTATTAAAAAAAATTGCATCAAGAATGTCTGATGTGATTTGTGTTGGAAAGGGCTTAACAACCCTTAGATTTGCGCAGAGATTAGTACAACCCTTGATATTATATGTAGTATTAATCTTAGCATAAATTGTTAGGCTATTAGGCATATCTTGACACTTGCAAATTGCGTCTAGACATCCTAACACAAACGATTTTCTTTCAAATTTAGTTATATGGATATTCACTCCTGCAAATTTATTGCAAACTCACATACGCACACATGTACGCTAGGCATTGAACTCAAGAGCTAATGATTTTTTTTTTTTTAACGAAAAGAAAATTCCATTAGATAATAAAAAATAATACACCACAATGCCAAAAAAATGGCCACAAAGAGCAAGGATACATACTATGAGATTACACTACACGAAAAGGCCAACCAATCCAAACAAAAAAGAAGAAAATATCTCCAAAAATAGCTGTACTCGGACCACCACCTGATTTTTAGGCTTGGGCCTTCCATAAAGGTAATAAAGCAGCAGAAGTTCCACCCAAGTTGTGTGTCACGACCCAACCCGATCGGAATGAATCCCATAGCGTCGAGTCGCGGCGGATGAATCCAAGATTTAGCTTTGGAATTTGTTTTCAGACTTTCTTCCAATACACAAAGGAATATAGAAACACAGAGCTACTACAAACTTCCAAATACACAGAAAACTCATCCATAATTTTCTTTCTCATTCTTCAAAATAGTCATATATATTACAGTACATGGCTTCAGACAAAAAATACATAACAAAAAGTAAACTAGCTATGGCTGTACAAAAATCAAAAGTACAAAAATACCTATACTTCAGATTATATCCTGAACGGCTAGTTCAAAACTTCTTTCCCTTTCCCAGAACATAAAAACCATGAAGATAACCACAGTGAGCTAACAGCTCAGCAAGACTACACTAGCCGATCTAAATTCCCAGATTCCCTCATTCCAAAATAATTCTCATAAACTTTTAAAAAAAATAGTTCATTTTAAATCCAATAATCATTGAACTGAAATCTCAAAACATAATACATAACAAACCATTCTTTAATTCAGATATTCGTACAGAATCCAGAGAATCAAACAAAATTCAAATATTCTCACAGAAATATATAATCAGACAAAATTCAGAATATCGTATAGAAATCAAATAATCAGACAATGGAGAGCCTTTAGAAATTTCTTGTGAGGGAATTCAGTGCAGTGGAGTTTCGCAAGTCTATTCTGCAAGCAATCCAAAAGTCCATGTTCATCGTAGGCTTTCCGGTAGAGATTTCGGCATTGATTAGGAAATTCAAAACAGTGCAGTAATCGCTGATTATAGGTATTATCCTATTAGTAATATGGGAATTAGTGACCATTGTAATTAAGGATTTGATGTGGTTAATATAGAATTTTGTGATAAATTGTAGTTTGATTCTTACGTGAGAAGGAAGTGAGAACATTGAAGGAAGAATAAAACTTGAGAAAAAGGAAATCAAGGTAAGTTCTTTAGATATGTGCTTAAGGTAGATTCCCTATGGCTGTAGGAGTTCTTAAAGATGTTATAACTTATGGTGTCATTGATAATTTTGATCAAATGCAAAGAGAGAGCTTTGAAGTAACTTACAATCGTAGAAGAATTCAAAGTAGAGGATTGGAGGAAACTCCTCGACAAGGAGGTAAGAATGCAAAATTTTTAATTAAAGTTTATGATTTTAATGTATGCATAGGAGATTTAATGTCATGTATTGGTAAGATCAGATTTATATGATCAAGAAAGTATGAGGTATGAACA